GTGTGTGTGTGTGTGTGTGTGTGTGTGTGTGTGTGTGTGTGTGTGTGAGAGAGAGAGAGAGACACAGAGAGACAGAGAGAGCGAGAGAGACTACAGCCTGTGTAAGTAGAAAGATGACTATGAGAGAAGGAAAGCGTTACTTAGGTGAACAGCCACAGGGCACGGAAGCAGAAGGAGCCTGTGCCAGGAAAGCAGAAGGTTCAAAACGGTCAGGGGAGAGGGAGAGGAGGCAGGGGGAAGAGCAACAAATCAAATTCTGTTTAAAAAAAAAATGCTACAACAAAACCTGCTACTTTGAATGGTTCTTGAAAAAGAAAGAAGAGTTTTGCCCAGTCGTGGGGCTTTAGAGGGCCAGGAGTAGCTACTTTCAAAAGGAAAAGGTCACTGCGCCACAAAGTCACCAGGTTGGCCTTCGACGTTCTGAACACAGAGCGCAGCATCTTCGAAGTCCTGGGAAATCACCTCTCGGGCTGCTAGTCTACAATTGGATCATAAGTCAATATGATGAAAAGAAAATCAGGAGAGAAAAGCATTTCCAGGCCTCCACAAGCCCTCGTCAAGCCTTTGTCCTGTGGTCTCGGATCCCAGGAAGGTGACCAAGAATAACCTGCACTGAGACAGGGGCTAACGCAGAAGGAGCGGTCTCAGCCAAGGGATGCCAGGAGCGCAGCAGGGGAACTGGAAGAACGGCTGCTGGTAGTTGAAATTGAGATTTGACTGTGCACACTGTGCTTTGCTAGATAACTCTGGCAACTTCTGAAATGCCGTCAAAGCTTGTGAAAAAAACCTCAGTGGACAGAAAGTGTGGCCATTCTGTAAGGTAGGACAGGGTCACCGGAATGGTGCCAGTTTGTATTAGTTACTTGTCTTGTGGTTGTGGCAAAACACTCGAGAAATGCAGCTTCAGAGGTGGAGGAGGTTTGGGCTGGGGCACGCAGCTTGTGATGGTGGAAGTCACGCCAGCTCAACGGGGCTCCGGGTGAAGGGGCTCCCTTTGCTTTCTCCTTTCGGTGGACCCCGGGCCGGAGCGCAGGCCTGGTGCCCGCACAGTCCTTCTGCTTCAGATTAGCCTGATTAGGCACTCCCTCACAACCATGCCAGACGGGTGCTTGTCACTGTGATTCTAAACTGTAGCATGCTGACAATCAAGATTAACCATTAGAGTGCTCAAGATAAAATCCGCACCCAAATAAGAATTTCATTAGAATTCTATGTGGTGTGTGTATGTGTTTAGCTCTATGTTGAGACAAACTAAAACGTGGGCTGATCCTATAGTGTTAGTAAAGTACAAAGTTTGATTTTATGTGGAAGCCTAGTAGAAAAAAAGGGACAATGGCCGAGCAGCGAACGAAAGACTGTGTAGATGCTATAAAATCAAAGCTGTTCACTGCTTCCAACTCTTGGTATCAAGCACAACAGAACATACTGGGCTCTGTTGAAGTTACAGAACTGAGTGTACACAGTGACAAAGTAGACCACATAAGAAAAAGAGTAAATATGAACTGGAAAATGGAACAGAGGTGGAGAGAGAGAGACAGAGAGACAGAAAGAGAGAGACAGAGACAGAGACAGAGGAGGGGATGATATTCTCCTGCATAAAGAGGATCCCAGACACTGTCCAGCTAGGACAGGAAGTAGAGGACGTTGTTAGTATGCTACTGAAAGGGGCTAGAAGGATATATAAGCTCAGATGTGGGGTGGGGATAAAAAGGAATAAAATTGGGTTTCCCGGGCTGGTTATCAGGATGCCACTCATAGTCAACACAGTATAAACTAATGGACTAGGAATACCATTAAGAGACACTTTCAAAAACTCTGTCAGCTGAAGCTGAGACACCAAAGAGTGTCTCTATGAACCCAATTACGAGCAAATAGAGCAAAGAGTGGGGGGATTCCTTTTGTTATGGGTTCATTACCATTTAATTTGCTTTCAAATGCATATAGCATTTTAATCCAAAATTTAAAAATTAAACCGAATATGAGGTTGGGGTTGGTTATGTATTCGAATAGATTTGTGGAGCAGCTGTGTTTTTCTGAGCGGTTCTGCAGCCACCTGAAAGTTCTCTTTCCTCCCCGTCAGCAAAGAGTTGAAAGCCTTCCCAGCGATCTTTGTAAGCCGAAGTTCTTGTAGCAGCCAGACGGTGGCGCCACAATCAACCGAATTCCTGCTGTTCTGCAGCCTCCCCCCCACCCCTCCCCCGTGCTGAAAGGCGAAACAAGTCTCTGAGGGCAGGCTGTACAGCGTCTGAAGCCTAGCTTTCGTCTGGTTTGGTATTTCAGGAATCCACAGTGTTCCTCCCACAGTCCTTTTGGTTGGGCATGGCTGAAACATAAACGGCCGGATTCTTCCAGTTCGACGCCGCCTCTCAAAACACAGGCTCTGTGTATGCCCAGTTATGCCAGGTCTCTTTTACCTGAGGGTCCAAGGACCCCTGCAAGGCTGTCATGACACAGCCAATCGCCTGTGCGTTTGCTGCTGACTCTTCCTGAGATGCAGGCCCTGCATTCCGGCACACAGGGTGCACAGCTCTTTACTGCCTTACTTTACCGCAGACGTTTTCATCAGCCAGTCCTAGGCTAAACATTGCATGCGCGTCCATTTCATTGCGTCTACTGCGCTGGGATGTGTGTGTGGTGTGCGTGTGTGTGTGTGTGGTGTGTGTGTGTGTGTGTGTGTGTGTGTGTGTGTGTGTGTGTGTGTG